CTCTGGACAAAAAATTAAGTTTGGAAGAATAACAAAGGGCAATAATCTGAAAAATTATGCGGGTAGAGTTATCATTCTTATGCACTGCACTCCTCCTCAATGAGGTCTATCAACCTATGAAGTTTCAAGTTGATAACTCAAACACTTTTTTAAGATATGCTCCGGACAAAAAGTATGAAAAATAAACAAAGGGCAATAACTCAAAAATTATAATAGAAAGAGTTATCTTTCTTATGCTCAGCATTCCTACTCAATAAAATCTATCCACCTTTGAAGTTTCATGTTGACATCTCAAAGACTTTTTGAGTTATGCGTCACTCAGGTGAAAAATTAAGTATGAAAAATAACAAAGAGCAATAACTCAAAAATTATGCAGGTAGAGTTATCATTCTTGTGCACTGCACTCCTCCCTAATGAGATCTATCCACCCATGGAGTTTTAAGTTGATACCTCAAATACTTTTTGAGATATGCTCCGGACAAAATTGTCGGACGGAAGGACTGACGGACGGACGGACGGACGGAGACTATTCCTATATCCCCCGCCGCCTTTCGGCGAGGGATAATAAAAATAGAAATAGTAACAAAAGGGACTAAGATAGTAATATTGCATGCATTTTTTAATGTCTAATTAAAGGAAAATAGTTTCTCTTAATACCTGGGACTTTAGATACAGTAGTTATATTTCATGTCCCAGATAAATACTGTAAGTAGAACACACACTGTAATTAAATAAAAACCGACAAATGGTGTTTTAACGGTGGACTGGTGTTTTGTACACTTTATATACGAGAAGGAACAAATTGATTAAGTGTTTGGGCCTTATATTATTATAAGGAAGACCCTCCAAAAGAATTGAGCCGCGTCACGACAAACCCAACATTATGGGTTTGCGACCAGCATGGATCCAGACCAGCCTGCGCATCCGCTCAGTCGGATCAGGATCCATGCTGTTCTCTATTGGTTTCTCTACTTGTTATAGAGTTTGTAAGCGAACAGCATGGATCCTGATCAGACTGCGCGGCTCAAATAGTGTTTAACGGTTGGCTCGACAAAATGATTGACTTTTTTACAAAAACATATATATACTTTATTTACAGAAAGAATAAATCGCCGGTCTAAACACGACCATGCCACGCTGAAATTTTCTCGGCAATTTTGCTTGGCTTGTGGCTTTATGCCTTATATTGTTGTAAAGAAGACCATCGAAACTAATGGCAAAGTGAAACACACAAATGGTGTTTTAACGGTCCCTATATGGACACCTTATAGTTGTCGTGAAAGTTGTACTAATTACATGTATATATTTATAGTACATGTAAGATCAAATTATATTTCACTAGTGTGCCAAAAATTTACACAATTTCACTCGGAGCTATGTCTCTCATAATAACAATAACAATGAAAGAAACTTTTATTTAACGAAGGTAGCTTATTAAGACAATACATCAAAGCATTAGAATTAACAAATATAATGCAAACTCTTATTTTCAACAGGGCCTTCAATAAATATAACAAAAGACATATTAAAAGCAATTTTAAAGATTACAACATTCAGAACATCTAAACTAACAAAAAAGACAGACATAATTTTATATAATAGTATAGGTATATTGTCTATAATTCATCTTGAGATAATAATAAAATGTTTGAAATTTGATTTCAATTATGCAGTTATTAATTGCTGCTCATAAAACTCAATACAAGACTTGTTACTGATAGTTGGCCTGTATAAAAAATTTAACAATACAGATTTATTGTGTGAAAAAATTAACCTGTAACCAAACAGATTCCACATTTTGGGATTCTATGCTGTTTCGCCATGTATTAGAAACAGTATCTCTAAAGTGTATTAAAATTCCACCACCACCTTTCAAAATCCTGTCTCTCCTTTCAAACGTATTTATGATTATCAATATTGAGATCCTTAATTATCTTCTATTGAATCACATGATATGTTTCGCAGTATCACACGTATTTCATTAATTTTGGGAATAAGAAGTTGTACATTTAGAAAGCTTATATATATATCAATATAGACTTAAAAGGGCACAAGAATTGTCTGAATTGAAAACTAGTAAACCAATATAGTTTTGGAAACATTTCAAAAAACGAAATGTATCACAAAGTTCGGATAAACCAATTTTAGATTTCCAAAATTATTTTGCAAATATGTTTGAAGAAATAAGGGCTACAACTAGTTGATGCAAATATTTAAAATGATAATAAATTGATCCTAAATTAGTAAACCCTACTTTCGAAGAGCTTAATATTCCCCATATCTTGCCGAGGAAGTTAGAGATGCGGTGAAGCGATTAAACCGCAAAAAAAGCGTCTTGTCCAAGTGATGACTTGTTGAACGAATACTTTATATTTTTTTTTGATATATTAGTAGGCCATATCATTTACTGATCTTTTTAACAGAGTTTTTGATGCAGACTTTTTCCAGAAATACGGTCTAAAGGCTTTATTTATACCTCTTCATAAAAAAGGCGATTATACTAATGTTAACAATTATCGTGGCATCACATTACTAAGTAACTTTGGGAAATTATTTATAAGTATCCTGACAAATAGAGTGGGAAAAATGGGTTTGATTGATAATAACATTTTTGTCAGACGCTCAAATTTGGTTTCAGAAAGGGGTGCTGTAGTACAGTAGATCCAATTTTCGTGTTACATTAATTTAATAAACCAGATGTTAACTCAAAAATGCGATTACCCTTGTGCTTTTATCGACTTAAAAAAGGCGTTTGGCTCTGTGAACCGCAATGCATTAATGGTATAAATTTATTTAATATGGGATTAGATTGGGAAGTTACTTTTAATTTTAGAACTTTTTAAATCAATGTATTCAATTGTAAAAGTCGTGTGTTAAACATTGCAATTGCAATATTGCATTTTCAGAGTTTTTCAATTTATCGGTTGAGCTACGACAAGGCCAAAATAATTCACCCGCCATGTTGGCACTATTTTTAGAAGACCTAGAATTATTTTTACAAAACTCCGTCGATTGTAGATTGATTATATTTGAAATATGTATAGTAATATTGTTATTCGCTGACAATATGGTAATAATTGGTAACTCGCAAGAGGATTTACAGCAAAGATTAAACTCATTATTTGAATACTGTAATCTAGGGGGCCAAATGGTAAATACCGCTAAAACTAAAATAGTTGTTTTTCGGAATAAAGGACCAGTACTTCCTAGTGAATGTTGGTTTTATAATGACGAAGCTTTGGAAAATGTTGACGATTTAAATTATTTAGGTGTAGTATTTTATTACACTGCAATGGGTCCTTTGGGTTGCTTCACAATCAATATCTTATAGTTTAAAGCTTTGAAACGAATGAATGTAGCGGGTGTTTTTAATAATGTAAATTATCCACACTTCTTTTTCTTTACAATTACTTTGAATGCTCTTTTGTCGGCTCTAATCATAAATTTATGCTTGTCCTGTCTGGGCATTAAAAACAAAATCATAAAGATAAGAGAGATTACACCTTGGAAAATTTTGCAAGTTTAATTCTTGGTGTGAAAATAAGCTCTTTGTAATGCAGCAATTTTTATTGTGAGCTAGGAAGATAACCCACTTTATGTTAATAGATAATGTTCACATAATAAAAATATTGGTTTAAAGTTATACATTTCAAAACAATATCATTGTTAAATGTGTGTATAAAAAATGCATTAAATCAATGTAAAAAAGGAGTAAAAAAAACTGGGGCATATAAAAGTAAAATGAATTTTAGATGAATTTGGTTTTCTGAGGTGTGGAATTGTCCTGAACTTTTATAATCCCAAAAGAATTTGTTAATAATTTTTAAACAAAGAGTCATTGATGTTTTTTAAACAAAAATTGTTTCCAGATATTGTTAATATTAACGTTTTAAATACATTGTATAGACATATCAAGGATAATTTTTCTATGGAATGGCTTTTTAGATAAAATTAAGTGTATGAAATCAAGACAACAATTAACCCGTCTAAGAATATCTGCGCATAATTTTAAGAATAGAATCTGGTAGATATGGTAGAAACAGACTTTGAAAGACATGAGCACATATGTCAACTTTGTAATGCACAAGATATTGAAGACGAATTTTCATTTTAATATGCTTGTTTGTTAATTTGTACCAGGAAATACGCACTAAATTCATTTAAAATATTATTATACTAAAAAAAACCCTAGCATGTTTTAAAATTCATAGAATTACTTCCGTCATGTGAAAAGTACTATATTAATTAAATTTATGTAAAAATTAAACTTATTTTGCAAAATAGTAAAAGAAAAGAAATGTTGATAAGCTTAGGTTATACACAAATGTAATGTTAAAATGTTTGTTTATTATTTTCATAGATATTGTAAAACGTTTAGATTTCGACAGTAATGTTTATATTAAAATGAAATTAATCTGATATCAAAAATGAGATTATTCTGATATACATTTATTTTATAACAAAATCAATTTTTTCTGCATCAATATATGTTCATTCTCCAATATACTGTTAAATCTTTGAGAATTATATCATGTGTTTATCTATTTATAATATTTGATATGTGTAATGTAAACAAGATACTGTATTGTATTCGTTACGAAATAAAAATTTCTGTTCTGTTCTGTTCCTGAAATATGTTTAATTCATTTTCAATCTAAAAAAAACAACAAATGTCCCCCTTGAGATGTGGCATTTACTCAAAATATAGAAATAATTTCTTGTTGATGTTATGATAAATAATAAATACTCCTTTAATTGGCATTCATAATTTAGGTTGAGTGTCATAGATTCAAACTCCTGTAGGGTCACCTTTTCTTTTAACACTTGTATTTATGTGCCAGTCAGATCCTTTTTTGAAAGAAAAACGGTGTGAAAGTTTAATTATATAATTTTGAAAAAAGAAACAATCATTTTGCTCCAGTTAGCTGAATGTTTTATTATTTGTTTCTAAATCATAATCAATAAGAAAACGTTTTTATAAATGATGATACTATGGATTATTTAGGGATTTCTTATTTCCTAAAAACAGCCTTTCTTATATTCAAGCATTTATTCAGAAAACTATCCATAACCCATAGAACATACGGTAAATTTTGTTTAAAGTCTGTATGGAGGTGTCCAATAAAACATTTAAATGACCCACGTTATCAATTTGTCAGCTCCTTACAGTGCTTATTAGGGTGGTCATTCCTCTTAAATAATTAGATGATGATTTTCATCTCTCATAATTCTTATATCATTGAGTACATTCTACTTGCCACTTACGGATTTTAAATGAAAGAATTTAATAAAGAATGACCAGTGCAGACGCAAACAATAATCAGAACGAATTCAGCAGTTTCCCCCTCTAAACCGAGTAAACCTCTACTTCACAAAGGCAAAGGGGGTCATCCTGGTTGTGGGTGATCTTCAGAAACTTTCCTGTCACGTTCTGAGCACATGGGATCTTTACAGGTAAAGACGGCGATGCTGGGGGTCCGACGTAGTATGCGCAGTCAGTTCCCTTATTGTTGTCTGAATCTTGTCGGGTAGGGGAAATAAGTAACCGCAAATTCGAATTCATGTAGTCTACAAAAAAATAATAAAACACAAATTTCTTACACATATTTTGTGATGAAAACTTCACTGGGCATATACAGATCAAAATTAGTAATTTAGTTTATGAAAGATCAAAACCATAAAACTACTTACTGTTTTGTGAGGAATTCCTAAAAAAGATGATAACATGGGACACTTCTGCGACACGCTCAAATTCCATTCCCCAATACGAATAGCTACTTGCAGTAACAGCACAGTATATTATATGAGTCACTTTATATTTGTCGCCGCGGTTACCATCTATTGCAAAGCTTGCTGCAAGTGGTACATCAAAGTGCACGTGTGTAGATTGCTGCCACGCATCAACAGCAGGAACAAAACGACCTGGTAAAAAAAAATCAGCACACTTTTATTAATTCAGTTAGAATTAACATTTTTTTCAATAACGACAATGTTTAGTCTAAAATATACGGCGTTAATGCAAATAAAACATTTTGGGCAAACAATTTTTCATAAACTTAACCAAAAATTATAATAATTATAGTAATAATAAAAAGATAAGTGGAAGACTACCCTTGTTTCTACGATATTTTCAAGAGAGGGTCGTAAAATGTTGACTAAGGGTTATCCATATTGTTTCCAGATTTTTTTAGCATTTAAGTGTTTTAGTTTTTTTTCTCAGACAGGATGATTAGTCACTTTTTTCGTGGTGTTCTTAAGGTAATTTTCACTAATTAAAATCAACGTCAGTTGATATCAAATTCTGAGACTTGTTCGACATATTAGCAAAATTCCATGACCCTACTTTACCCCATGCCCCATGGTTCCGCATATTAAATTATTATCTATGCTGTAATTGCTTCGCAAAAGAATTTTTTGCTTTTCAAAATAAGTGAAATTTTTATTTACACCGCCATAGATTTCATATGGCGACTTTCAAGCTTAACTGAAGGAAAAAGACTTTGTCCCTCGGCGTGCATTTTTTTTCCAAACATAAGCTTACACCTGAAATGAATTACCGACCTTTTGTTTTATAATATGAAAGAATCCAAAGTCTTTGACGGGATTTGAACAGGAAAGTGATTTAAAGATACAGATAGATTAAGTTAAAGTCCTTTCACCAAAATAAGGTCTGCAAACGTTTTCTTACACTTATACACATAACTATAAGTTTTGAATAAAACTTTTGCCTTTAAATACACACAACGGCGACATAGAGATATAAAAACCATGTCTGTCTATAATGAGTATCAGTACACCATAACACAGTCAACTATCGTGATATCGATATCACTTTTCTCAATATTTCGTTATCTCGATGAAATTTTGAAAGTCTCAAATAGGTTCTTCTTTATCTATATTAGATATAGTTGTTTATTTCGAAATTTTTATTTCGATATTTTAAGTATATCAATGTAAACATTCAGCTCCAAAACAATATCATTCTTTGTTTATATATACGTTTATCTCAACATATCGTTATCTCGATATTTTTGACGGTCCTGTATACAATAATTAAAGGATACGTACCATCACAATAAACGTTCCAGTTGGATTCGGTTTCTGTTGGAGGTGTCACCACGCCAGGAACGTATGTTGTGAGTTCGCAAACGCCCGTGTCCGCATTGTGGTTAACAGACGTACATTCATCCACACCATCACATAATCTCGCACATTGTATTTTGCTAGTGTTTAAATGTTGCACTAAAGTATCACTATATCGTGCATTACTCGACGAGAGAGTGAACTTGCTGGTAAGGACTGTTTTAAATACAAAAATTGTAACACATTCAAGGATCCAAATCAATTTTTTCTCATTAAACCAATGCATTGTATCGTTTTAAATTCAATGTTCCTTACATTAAATGTAATTATTTTGTATCACAATCCTTACTTCAAATGCAATAAAAATGCAATTCTTTCTTCAAATGCAATGATACAATACTTTCCTTAAATGCAATGATTAAAGCAATCCTTTCTTCTTCAATTACAAATTATTACAAGGCACCCCTTCCTTTAAATACAATAAATAACGCTGTCCTTCCTTCTTATAAAATAAAGTCTGATAAGTTAAAAGTATGCTAAGGTTAAAGTCTAAACAGCTCAAAGTCTGAATGGTATCTGCAGGGTTTTTCAAATAGAAATACCCTAGTGTCGGAGTAGCTTAATTTTGTATAAGCTTGAATCATAATCATAAAATTCCGATTATTCATATTTAATTAGTTACTTTTGTTATTCTATTCTATTTATTCGTATTTCACTCGTGGGTACCGCAACTTATCAAATATTTATTTTTTCGATGATAATGAATATGATTTATAATAATAATGAACAAGAAATATCTTTAAATAAGATAATCGGCGTAAATTCAGTGCAAAATGTCTCATAGCTTTAGAATATTTTCAAAATTAATGATATTTATAACAATATAAATGTCTAAATTGAAATATATTTGGTGGTTACTAGTATAATCTATGACAGTTGTCTAAACTTAGCTGAAACATGTATGCTGCTATAATGTCAACAAATTAGTCATGTTATTATAGATGCTAGAAGCTTTTTTGTCACCGTGACTTTTGACTACTGGTTTCAAAGTCAATACCAGATAAAAACCAACCACACTACCAAATTTAGAGACTGCAAAGGCCACAATCAGCTGACAACTTGTATTTTATTGTTAAATAATATTAACTTATATGTATCTGACCTTCATTTTGTAAAAGCACTTCTGTGCATAAAATGCTGCAATTATTAGGTCATGATAATAACACCAAAATCTTTTGTTGTTTATATCTTTTATTTATGAAAGAATACAAACTGTAAGAAACAATCAATGGAACATATCAACTCTGAACTATACTATTTATAATGCCTTCTTATTTATCTGGCAATGAAAATGAATAATTGAAGACTTAAATCAAAAGTTAAACATAACCTTACTAGTAAAAGTTATAATTATGTATTTTATAAAAAAAGGATTTCTATTAAAAATTGCACAGCTTGACTAGTATTTTGTATATACTAGGGGTATGAGGTGGAGGTACTAGTTAAGCCTACTGGCATGGCTACGTGTCGTACACCTACACAGGTTATATTTTACAATGTACTTTAAATGTGGAATGTAAAATATAAATGTTGTACCATATATACAGAAATATATCTATTTATCTTATAATAAGTACTAACCTCAATTTTGTATAACCCATCAATGACACTGATTATCAAGTGAGACAGTTTCAGATTGAGGTAGTCAATTGGGTGTATTTCGGTAAATTTACCTACCGGTGTAAACAAACGCCGAATAACTATGAATAAATTAATTTGTTATTATTACGCACAAAAAATAATACTTAAAGTTTTGCGATTCTTTATGATAATGTTGCATTTTAAATATGTTAATTTTCGCAATTCATATCAGCTCTGGAGAATCTTTTTGTTGATCAAAAATATCGTTCATTTTCATAGAAAACAGAAAAGCTACGGCAAATAAAGTACGAGTGAGTAGTAATCGAATGTTTAAGTAAAGGCTGAAAAACAAAAAGTTGGGTTTGTTGTTAATATTATCAACAAAATAAATTGTACATGAAATCATCATATGTACTGTATATTTTGTATTTTGATATATCTTTGGTTTGGTCATAACGTTGTGATATATTTAGTTTACGATTGTATAAATATTTTTAATACAACTTTATTCTTAGAGACAAGTAAAACTAAAGATTACGAATTTGTCCTTAAATTTCATAACAGCCAGTCTTTCCACCAATGAAAAACACCCTCTTTTAGCTGAAGATTTTGTAACTAACAATTTCATTTGTTACAAATCTAGGTCAAAATCCATTTTAATACAGCTACGCCGAAAAACAACCTGAATATCTGAATATCCTCTAGTGAATATCATCTACATAAATCATGTATTTAACATATACTTAAAAAGTAATTTAAATGCAGGAAATGTTTTATCTTTTTAATATAACAGTTCTTATTGGTTCTTTACGTTTCTCGATAAATATTGATATAATCTCACTTATATACTCAGGTCGTATGTCATTATCGGCATTGTTTACATTTTGCATGTACGGATAAACGCTTCTTGTGTTAATTTTAGAGACTGACAAGTATAAATAATGTCAGATTTATAAAGAGTAATGATTTATTTCATTAATTGTTTACATATTTTCTTATAATCAGCGTACGTTTAGCTAGAAAGTAGCATTTATCGTAATTTTACTAGATAAACTTTGACAGGTGTTGTCGTTGTTCGCTGATGCATTATGGGTTGTGTGACTTCCGTTGTCAATAGCAATTGCTGCCTAAACTCAGTAAACAAACCGTTTCAAAGTTATGTTTCATCAAAAGCAACAGACTTATAGTCAATCCATGGTACTAGTCATTTTTATAAATATTTTATGTATCAATTTATCGTATTTTTATGTAAAGTTTCATAGAACTTTAGCTTAAGAATGTTGTTGAT